TTTTTCTTTTGTTGCTTTCTTATCTTTCGCCGAAGCCCCGCCACAGACACGGCAGTGAAAATGCGGTAGTGACAGTGGTGCAACACCAGAGACGGGGATAAAAAGGGGAATCCCTGGCTGCGTTTTGTAGGCGCGAGGACGCCACGAGTTCACTCGGGAAAATCGAAGTGAACGAATTCGCGGGGAGAGGCTCGTTGAAGCCCGGGGCCGAGAGTTATGACGAGCTCGTGTGTTGGAGGACGAGGAATTTACGCGCATGTGTCCAGTGGGATTTAGTGTCAGCGACAAACCATTCTTCCCAGATCTGGATACCTTGCTCTCGACGTCTACCGGACCTGGATTATCTCATGTCAGGATGGCGCTGGCGCGGTACGTACCTTTCCATTCTCATACACTCCGAAACGATACACCTCCTCGCCGTCATTGCATTTAGGGTGGGTCTTCGCGCGGCTGTATATTTTGTTTTTCCTCTCTTTCGTCCTTCGTTCGATGTTATTAAGCGCCTTTATTGATCCGATTCCATACAATTGGATACGGCTGAGCGTTATCGACTTTAAAAGGCGATTTGTTTCAATGATAATTGTGTGTACGGTCGTATCTCGGTTGTAATGGTAATCGGGTGACACCGGTGTTTCTGTACGAGGCTCCACCGGTCACCGATTACCGGCTGGCTCAATGGCTAAATTTTTCCCGAAATTAGAAACAGTCGATTCACGCGAACGTCGGTGTGTTTTTTATCAAATTTTAATTCGCACTCCCTGTATCAGTAACATAACCTCTACGTTAAAAAAAGTGTCTGCATAGAATAGACTACACCTTCGATCTTAAATACTTTACGCCGATTATCTGTTACAACAATCAATAACGAGTATTTTATTAGAAATTCCTTATTGTATTCGACAATTGGTGATCGAACGAAACTTTACACAAGTGGCATTGAAACGCGGCAAATTCAAATGTTAAAGAGACGACACATCTCTGTAGTACGCGTTAATCAAATTTTTAAGATTGTTTAATACGTTGATTACCGCGCGTCGTGAGAAATTTCATCGTGTTGTTACTCGAACGGTGTAATAAAGCTGATTCACCGATTTTCGTGGATATTTTTGCAAAAAGGTGTACCCCGGTGTCCCTTTGTTTTGAAATATACTACCGCAGATGCCGGTATCTGCCACATAGAGGGCGCGCTGGTCAACGACCCACCCCTACCATACAACTATAGCCAAGTGATTTAACAGGTTTATATAGGTACGCTCTCCGGTATATTTACATAATTGTCACACGCGTTCTTTTTCGAAGCGATACGTACAACATGCCGGGAGTTACTAGTCCGACGGTTTTTATTCAATCTGCTTGCATAGCAAATCAAAGATGTGTGACGTGTAACAATAAGGTTGGTACATCTTTCTTTTTTTACGTTAAGTCGACCTTCTGAGCACGATGCGGGCTTCGTCACGGTTCGACAGTCTGCCTTTATACTGAAACGTTTGACCGTGAATATACCGAGACGGTGGAATTCAAACATAGAAATATTAACAACGGCCTTATCTTTTTACTTTCCTTCCTCCTTGCGTTTGGGAAATTCTTCGATCGACAATTTGTGTAACTGACACGGGCATCCACGATTGTAAAATAATTTTAGTTGCTTCGTTTTTGAGTTTGGAGGTTTATCAAGTTTAATGAAACGTATTCAAAGTCTATCTCTTTGAAAATGAGGCTTCAAATGAAACAATTTTTCAATTATACTGAATTGTGATAAACTTCAAACTCGATTTTCTCGAGGACCAAGTCCCGAACGAAAAAATTCTATTCTTTTCAATTTTTTTCACAAGAAATCGTGTTGTGGTTTTACGTATTATCGCCTCCGTAATTTAAATACGTATGTTTCGTATCATGTCGTGTTAAACGAGGATTTAATTTCATTTGTTTAATTAAATTCTAACAAGTGGAGCAAAAGAGATAAAATACCAGTATACAAACGAGGATTAAGCAAATAATTTTAATCGCGCATTTTCTGAAACAGTTCAATCCGAGTACCTACGTTTGTATATTTCATTGAATTTTTCTCTCTCTCTCTCTCTTTTTTTAACCTGAATCATTATCATGCTTTTTACAATCAATGCACTACGTAGCGTATCGCTGCACATAACATTACTTTCTTTGTTCAAACTTTTTCCTTCTTTTTATCAGCGCGATAGAACACGCAGCGTCGTGGCAGTAAACAGCCTTCATAGCACATACTTATGCTCGCGTACGATCGAATCGTGACAGAACTGACAATGAAGCTTTCTACCAATCCCGTACCCCCGTGCACGGATGTGCCATCATGCGAGCACAACGTCGCCTTCTGTTCTAACCTCTCCCGAACGCTTTTTAGAATTTATTTCCCTCGCGGTCGAACGTCGATTTATCTCGCGGACACGTAACGCTAAAGGCCTCTGCTGTAATATTTCGTTCGTCTTCGGTTGGCCAAGTGGCGGGGTGGCGGTGGAGAACACTCGGGGTCGGGAGCGCATGAAACGTTCGCGTAATTGAATGTAGCAAATTAAACAATGGTAAAGGGAATCGTACCGAGTCGGCAAATGAGCGTACCGCCGGTTGGGCTTCACCGATAGGGCTCCTCCTGATGGGGACTATTACTCATTACACTTCCTGCCCGGCAGAACGCAATCAGGCGGAGTGATGAATCACGGGGCTATAAACAGATCTTCGACTTTGTAATTACGATTTAACGAATGCGGCCAGGATGCTCGTGCCAGGACCTCACCTGCCGGCTAACCTTCGCGTTATGCAATTTAACTTTTCAACGCGGATTTTTACAGTCCCAGCCCGGCCAATTGTTGCAGCCGGGTTTCTTTTGGCGCTGTCGAAGGCCGAAAGTGCGTGTTAACATTTTCAAAGTTGACCGGTGCAATGTGTACTCGTGCAGAATTATCGAAGTACAAATTCATGCGAGTTGTCAGAGTCGAACGAAGCTGTATTGAGATTTATTTAATATTTTTGTCCAACGTCGACGTTGGAAAATTGGTTGTTAATTGTTCGGATGATGATTGGCCTTTTTTGAGGGAAGGGGGGGGGATTTAGACGATACGTTTCCAAGGAATTTTTCTTTCGAATATTCTTTCGACAAACGTCTCTTTGTGTATTTTTGAGCCTCTTTCTTTCTTTCTTTATACTAATAAATTTTTAAAAAGTCCAAACCACTTTTCTAGGTTCGATACAGTTCTTTAACGATCGACGAATGTTTGAAAATACGCCATCCGTTTTCGTGTATACCTTTTGTTTGAACGCGTATCACAGGAAATGTATATTGTTCGATCTTCCATGTTTCAAGCACTCATGCTTTTTTTACACTTTGTTTTTAACTGCTACGTTGTGCAATAAATTTGTTCGCCTCTTGATGTTACGTAGTACGTATTATAGTAGACAATATGTTTAATCTATCTACATCTATCTACATGAAGAAACACACAGTATGGATGAGTGTTCCTTATAATTGTAAATGGGAAAGAAAAATGAACACTGGGCGTATCTCGATCGATAATGTATACAATATCATACTAATACTAATCATATCATACTAACAAAAGGATCGTTTATTGGAATTATGATTAACGAATGATTCAAGTTGATTGAAATATTTACTCTGCTATTAACATTGATACAAGCGAAAAAAGTTCTTTATAGATAATAATTATATAATTCAAAGTATTATATGCAGGCAGTCTTTTGACAGAAAGTATACATTGATGCGAACAAACTTATTACATGGTCGAATACTTTACTTTATCACAACATACTTATTTAACAAAGTTGATAGTTCGTAGTGAAGTCAAAATTATTCGAAGAAATCTTCTACATGAAAAGTTTCAATAATTTGTTTGAAACCATTTGATCCGCATAACGTTCAACAGAATTTCAAGCACAGAATCACTCGCTTTTTTGTCAAGAGAGATGAAATTTATATTACACGATATCATTTACGATATCCGAAATTGCAGTCGAGTTCGTATTCCTATTCATAGCTCTCGGATCTGTTGAAGCGAGTAGACTTTCGTGCGTTCAGGGTTCCAAACGATTAACCAATCGTACGTGAAAATCGACTAATTGGCAAGAGAAGCGTTCCTCCATCGGAGGACACTCCTCGCTACGCGAAAGGTAATTTCGTATCATTAACATAACTCAGAGCGAATCGACTGCCGTCCCACGATCAATCAATGTCCGTTGAAATTACGTTAAACGCTCCGCGATGAGAATTGATCGACCCCCGACGATAGTGACAGTTCCTCATCCAGGACAGATGTCGGTTGACGCACACTTCTCTTTCCACGTCGTTGTTACGTTGATCCCGCGAGGAACAATCACGAATCACTTGCAGTTAATTAATTTTGCCACTGTTCATCTTTACGTTCGAAGGCAGAAGGCAGTCACGCCCGATTACGTACAATTTCGTAATACGTACTTAATTCACGCGATAACTCTCCGTAACTTCACTACTTCAGACACCTATCGACAAATCACAAAGCGTGAAATTTTCGCCAGAGACATCGAAAACAAAAGGATGGAGACTTCGTGATATACTGCTCACAAAAATTAGGGGATATTTCAAAATGAATATGAAGCAATAAAAAAAAACAGGAGCATTTGATTTTTTTTTTTTTTTTTATTAAAGCAAGAACATCAGAAAATCAAACGACGTAAAATCTTCTGATGTTGTTGTTTAATAAAAAAAAACAATCAAATTCTTCTTTCCTTTATCGCGTCATATTCATTTTGAAATATTCCCCTAATTTTGTGAGCAGTGTACCTTATAATGTAGTGTACAAACTTTTGTTTATGCATCTTGCGAAAGAATTATTTGAATCGTTGAGAATACACCGTTTTATAAAAGTGCTCGACCACTCGGGAACAAGGAACCTTCGCCTGACTTTGAACTTTAAACCCGCGCAAACGAGTATCGTTTAGAAGTCGAGCCGATTGACTTCGAGAGTTGATATCGTTTGCCCTCCGATAATTTCGAGAAAATCCATCGCGCTCGACGTTTGATGGAACTTGGAAATGTTTCGCAATCGCTGGTAATACTCGTTCGTAAAAGGTTTTTGTAGTTAATTCTCGAACACTTCGGTGAATCACTCGAACTTTAATTTCTGTCTATCTATTTGAAGCGATATATAAGAGCGGTTTGGCGGCGGTTGATAAAAAGTTTTTAGCATAACGCACTCGCCGACTGTCGCGTTAGATGAATCGGAAAAGCTCTTCGACCTTGCGTTGACGACGTTATCGCGTTTGCGTCACAATATTTTCTTGTTACCGGCACACACTGAAACGGCAGAAATCGCTTTGAATGTCGGTGTTCTTTGTCCCCTTTG